ATTTAAAGTATCTTTTCATTTTTTAAATTATTTCAAATATCAGTATTCAATGTTTTATGTTTAATATATCAAAACATTATTTCTGCATTTGTAACTGCAGGTTAAATGCATTCATGTCCTGCATTAAACAGTGTGTAAACACATCTAAATGCCGCTTCAGATGCAGCTTATGTCTGGATTGCAAAGATGAATTTCGTTGATACTGATTTCATTTGCTTGGTAACAGCCCAAAATGTCTTATTCTTATTCACTGATTAAATTAAAGAATTTGACTCAAAAGATAATGCACACTTATAGAAAAATGGCTTTATAAAGGTACAGTCTGTGTGCATTGAATTTATTTAATACACGAGTTTCACAATTTGAGTTGAATTAATGAAATAAATTAACTTTTCCACGACATTCTAATTTATTGAGATGTACCTGTATACAGTATATATGTGCATGTTTATGTGGTTTATGAGGACACAAATTTGTATAATAACATGGGTATGACATAGGTATTACAATGAGAAGGTGATTTATACATTTTCAGTGTCCCCGTAATTCAAAAGGCTTATAAATAATTCAGAATGAGTTTTTTTGAAAATCTAAAAATGCAGAAAGTCTCCTGTAAGGGGTAGGTTTAGGGGTAGGGTTGGTGTAGGGCAATAGAAAATACGGTTTGTACAGTATAAAAACCATTACGCCTATGGAGAGTCCCCATAAACCATAAAAACAAACCTGTGTGTGTGTGTAATTAAATTTATTGTTATATTAATCAAATAATTTCAAGTTGCTTCCAAAATACACTTCTTTTAACTAAAAACCCCACTAAAGCCAAGTTAAAGCAACCTTAGATAAGTAAAGCACAGTCTGATGAGTAACTGCACTGAGTGAATATATAAGATAATGTGTGTCATACCTTTTCCATCCCAATCTGATATGCTTTCAAAGCTTCTTGAACAGCTGTCTGGTTCTCTAGATTTGCAAGAGCAACAACTGCATTGTCCAGACAGGGCACCTTACCACTGTTGATTGTGTCAACATAAATCTCAACCAGATGTCCGAGCACTGACAACACACACAAACACATAAACAGATTTAACTTTCAATTAGAAAAGCTTATGGGTCTGAACACTGAATTTTCTTAATATTAAACTGGTAAAACACTCACATTTGCCAGTAACTCTGTGTCCTCCTTTCACTGTTTTCACGACACTATTGTGAAAGATGTGGTCACAGAAACGACCCGTGACCTCCAGAAAATCGGGTACAAGGTCCCGTTCCTGCAAGCTTTCTAAACGTGTCATGTTTTCAGGTGAGGCTGGAGAAGGGAACACGAAACACTTCCTGGGGGATGGGAAATAGTTTCGGATGCATTGACGAGGCAGGTTGTAGTCGCTGACTTTCTTGCTCACACCTTTTAGGAGAAAATAGCAAATTTTTACCAAAATGCACTAAGAAATATTTTCTTTTGTCAGTATTCAGTCACTGTTTATATACATATACTTCAAATTCTAGCACTGTTTATGTCTCTCTGAAATACCTTTCTTGAGCTGGAGGGCAAATTCAAGGTACTCGTCCTCAGTCACTCTCTTTCCTTCAATTACCAATTCCAAGGTGAAATCTCTCACGACCCAGGTGAATGATGGGAAAAACTGCACAAACTTAGAATCCTCTTCTTCCTCCTCATCTGCTACTTCTGTTGATCTGATTTTAATATTCTCAGCGAGCTCAGCAACATAGCTGCAGCACATTAAGAAATAACAGCATCTTGTAAAGTGTACATTTGTATATGTGAAAGAGGAAGTGGGTTGTGTGGCAGGTTAAAGGATACTGCAGCTTTTTCAATGCAGTGTTATCGATGGTGCCGCGGCTGTTGTACACCAATGTGCTGCTGAGCAGAACAGCCAGACAGAAGATCCAGCCGTCATTCTTAGAGTCTCCCTGAAACACAGAGTGTCTTCAGATCAATTCATCCACAACATATATCAACAAGACTATTAAGTCTACAGCTTTAATCTTGTCCTCACTTTGGCCACGTCACCAAGTCCCTCTGTGTCCAGCAGCACCAGAGTGTGTCCTTCTTTACAGGGGTGCGGGACACACCACATCCAGATGCCTTTGGTCTTCGACTCAATAGTATTGCCGAGAGCAAAGCCTGAGACAACCATGTTTTTATTATTATAATTAGCATGTAGCTAATATGTACACATTCGGCTGGTATGTCTAGACGGCAGTAGTGGACGAAGTACACAAATCAAGTACTTGAGTAAAAGTACAGATACGTATAATAAAATATTACTCCAGTAAAAGTACTCCTTTTTCAATTTTACTCGAATGAAAGTACAAAAGTACTCGATTTTTTATGTACTTAAGTAAAAAAGTACTGATAGATTTATTTTGCAATTTTATATAGGCTACTTAAATATAATCCTACTGCTCAAAATACCTGGGATTTTCCCAAAATAACCACTATATGGAGTCAAGATATATTTTTGTTGTTGATATGGACTACGTTGACGAGAGTGATGTAGTGATGTTCACTATGAAGCTTACACTGCGATGTATCTGAGAGAAAACAGATTTGACCGTCTGATTTTCACTAGTAAGAAAAAAGTGTTTTAAAGCTTGTTGTTTTGCAGAACATCACAGTTATATATGACATGAGAATAAGGCCTGAAGTTAGGAAGAACATTTTAAGGAAAATATAAT